CAGTTTAATTAAATCCACAGCCTGACGCTGTCTCATTGGATTCAATCGAGTAATTTGGAAAACGGTGGTAATGGACAACGAAGGAGGACTTATGGTATCCGCTATAGTTTATGTTGTTGTCACCTACCTTCTGAACACTGGTCTTGGCTTACAAGCCATGAAGATAGGCGAAGAATGGTCGATCTTTCTAACCTCCAATGCACGGGTAAAAGAATACCACTGGTTTTCCCTGGTTTATCAAGCAACAAATAGGCTAATGTTCAATGCGGCATACAAGGTCTCTAATTACACATCTGCAGAAAGGTACGCGAAAGAACTTCTTATCATACATCACGCTTCTGGTGACACACTTAAGGAAGGGGAACTAAGCTTGAAACTGGGACAGATATATCAGAAACAGAATAAATTTGAAAAGGCTACAGAATACTTTCAAAAGGCAGCTGATATAACAAGAAGTACTGGAGACAAAAAAATAGAGGCACAATGTTCCATGATGATAGGAAAATTATTGAATTCGCCGTGTGAATATCACAAGGCTGAGGAGTATTACAAGAAAGCACTAACAATCACTGTGTCAAATGGCGACAGAGATAGCAAAGTAACCATTTACGGAAACCTAGCTACAATCGCTCAGTCGCTTGGGGAATACGACAGAGCTAAGCAATATTACAAGAAAGCACTTGCAGTGAGACAGGAGATTGGCCACAGAGAAGGAGAAGCAGCTGACTACGGAAACTAAGGAACATTGTTTCACTCGCTTCGTGAACACAAAAAGGCTCAAGAATACACCGAGAAATCACCAGCAATCAGAAAGGAAATTGGCGACAGAAAAGGAGAAGCAGCTGACTACGGAAACCTAGGAACATGGTTTCATTTCCTTGGTGAATACAAAAAGGCTAAAGATTTTACTGAGAAAGGGCTGGCAATCGCAAAGGAAATTGGTGACAAAAAGGGAGAAGCAGCCTTATATGGACACTTAGGAACATTGTTTCTTTCCCTAGGCGAAATTGAGACAGCCGAATTGTATTCTCGCGAGGCTTTCTTAAAGTGCGAAGGAATTGGAGATAGTATGACGGAATTTAAAGTTGTTTGCGGTCTAACAGTTTTGAAGTTAGCTCAGTATAATCTCGAGGAAGCTTTTTCGTATCTTTTTCAATCTATTGCAAAATTTGAAAAATTGCGAAACTTTGTAAAAGGCAACGATCACTTCCAAATATCTTTGCTGGAGAAGCATGGCGTCTTTCCCTATGACATGCTCATTAAACTGCTCTCTGTTAGCGGAAATTTTACAGATGCTCTTTACGTTGAAGAACTTAGACGGGCAAGAGCTCTAGCGGACTTGATGACATCTCAATATTCTGCCAAACAGTTGCAGTTTTCAGGCGATCCGCGATCATGGTGTGGAATCCATGATATTATAAAAGGAGAAGCCAGCTGTAATTGTCTTTACCTTTCGGTTGATGATGAAGATGCACGGATTTGGATTCTGAAAACAAGCGGAGAGATTCATTTCCGAAGAAAGAGATTGGATTCAGATCGTTTTGGAAATGCCGGGTCAGTTCCTGACCTGAAAGTGTTTTTTTCGGAAAGTTTCCTCCACTTTGGCATTCTACCTAGAGATGTTTGCGAAGATCGCTCTTTAAATGACGAACGTGTTTTAACATCATCTGATGATGTCAACCGATCGAG